AAAAAAAAAAACGGCGATAATGAGCATTAAATAGGTAATAAAGGAAGAGAAAAACAAAAATGATTTCTTTTTTTTCTAAAAAAAAAAAAAATTGGTAACGAAGAATTGAATTTGAAGGAAGAAAAGATTGAATGAAGTTAGAGGAAGAGAGGAAGAAGGAAAATGACTTGATAATAATGTTTGCAAAGTAAGCTAATTCAGTTTCTCATCATTACACTTGAATATGTACGAATACTAAATTGATTGTATTTCAAATATTTCAATTCAATTATCTCAGAGAGCATTAATTTCCGTGTCAATTTTATAGCTTTTTAAAATGATAACGAATTTTTCTTGTAATCAATCGAATTACAACCATTAAAATTTTATTTTGTTCTTCAAATTCAGCTAAATTATCGAAATTTCATATAACTGAATAAATAGCAAAATTATCGGATGCAAAAATTACAATGCAAACATTTTAATTCAGCAAAACTATTAAGTAACATTTTGCATATTACATAATGATTATATTTAATTAATACTATGGATTTGAACATTTTTGAAATCATAATGATTTAACAGTTCATATATCTTCAGGGAATAATAAAATACATTGATCAGATTTTATATTTGCGACAATCGATCGGATACTTTATCACGACTTTAAGGATTGATAACCGATAAATTCAGTCAAAGAATAACTTTGTCCAAAAAACATCAAGCAATTCTATATCAGTTGAGTAGATCATGATGCCAGCCCTCAAAATATTTCATTTGATTTGTTTAATGTTTGAATTTTCGTTTAATTGAAATACTTTGCAGATTGACATCATAAATTTGTTTCAGATACTTGTATAAGAGATTTACTTAGTTTAGCTATCACATGATTATTAGAAGTCGTACGTTTATGTTCAACACAAAGCAATGTCATTAATTGATCCAGAAATTTCAAGCTTAAAAGTTAATTTCTTTATTGCTATTCAATGATTCAGTATAAACTAATCAACAAATACTATACTTTATCATTTTAATTACTTGAATTTTCATTTTTTCACTATCATTGTTTATGGCATTTTTACACATGAACAGCAGTTACTCTCATTTTCATGCAACTAATAGAAGTTAAACGTGAAAAAATTTAACCAAAAAATAAAAAATTATAATGTAGCAATCAATCAGTAGATTGTTTTATTGCTTCTAACTGTATTTTGCAATCAGGTTTTTTTTCTTTTTAGTTTTTATTTTTTCATAAATCACAATGTGACATTGTTATTTAATATATATGATAATATCTTAATCTGTTAAAATGATAATTTATTTGGGAAAATGCTGAAATTACAAATTCCGAAATGCCAAACTGAAATCATTTCCTATGAGATTTGGAAAAGTCAATTCTAGAAGTGAAAAAAAAAAATTCAATTCATCTATTTTGATTGCAAAAGTGCCCATTAGAGTGATTTAATAGTTGTGTAGAAGTTTAATTAAATTCAAATCAAATATTTTTATTTATTTATTTATTTTTGAAACCAGAAAGTAATGAAGTTTGAAACAACATGCATCTTTTATAAAATCTTTTTTTTTTTTTAAATTAATCTTTCATGATCATAATCTTCAGATTTATATTTTATGAATCTTCCAGTAAATCAATGAATATGTTTCATATTTAAAAATAAATCTTTCAAGTGTCGATGAAAAGAAAAATTACATGAAATCGAAAAAAATGAGAAAAAAACAAAAAAAAAAAATAAAAACAATAAAATTAAGGAACAATTGAAGATTCCAAGCCGGTTTTACGATTTCGAGAATTATCTCTCACAAAAATGGGTGAAAGTGATTTGTCGATGGATTTCATTCTTACATCAAATGTGTATATGTTGGAACAATGCAATGGATGGTGGCGCTGTTGTTCGTACTTCTTGAATTTCTTCCCGATTTTATTTATGGATGTACACCACGATATCGGGAAGAACTTCAATACTTGGATTATTATCTTGGCATAAAACCGGAAAATCATGGTAATCTCGAGGTGGAAGGTAAAATTTTATTCAAAATAAAACTTTGCAGAAAAAAAAAACCTTTTCAAAAGAAAAGAAACAACAAAACAACGATCATAAGCTTTATGTACTTTATTTTACCACTGACCATATATAAATATTTCGAAATTTTTTAAAAAATATTAAATAATTCAAAATTTTTGAAAAATAATTGTTGAATAGTTTAATTTTTGATATTTGATTTCTTTTAAAGATTTTGATATTCTTTTAATTCTTCCTTTTTTTTTTTTTAGAAACTACGCTAAAACAATATATAAGCAATTCAATGAAGCTAAATTGTCAATTCAATAAACGATGCGCGTGGATGAATGCACCTGATGATGATTTATTAGATACATCAGATTTTTATTTATTTGCCAAAACAAACAGTAAATTATTTCCACCACAAATTCAACCAGGATCATCCGATCCATTAAAAGGTTCTCTATGTGAAAAAAAATTAATTTTAGTTTTTCTAAATTAAAAATAAAAATTAAATTACGAAAAAAGATATTTTAAAAATTATCATAACAAAATAAATTTCTGTCTAAAACAATTATTGTGGGAAAAAAAAGACAACAAAAGTTTGAGCTATGATAAGACTTTTTTTTGAATTTAATAATTTTCAAGCTAACTAAATTAGTTTTAAATTGAAATAACTGATTTTCTGAATTGTTCTTTTCAGAATGAACTGTTTAGGTTCGTAAATGAATTTTTCGCAAATAATTTATTTTCAGGTACGAAATTTGTTATCGCAGGTAATACAACAACAAGACCTCAAAGTGCAATACTAATTAGTGCACCAATTGCTTGCCAACGAGCTTCCGGATTATTAACATTCAAGTAATTTAATTGAACATAGAAAATAAATCAATCCATAAATTTATATAAATATAAACAGCTTACTTTGATACTTTCTTCCAATCAGTTTTTAGAACAAAAAAAAAAGCCTATTCTTAAAATTTTATGCACTAAGCAGTTTAATATGGAACTTTTCATATAATTTAATTTTAATTTAAATAAAAATTTGATCCATCCATGCAGTTCGGAATATTTTAGATATTGGCTATATAATGAAGCAAAAATTGAAGTGTTAATTTTAAAGCCATTTAATCGATGGAATCGTCTTCGGGTATTTGGTTTGTTCATTCATTACTATAAACATTCGTTATAATTTTCATTTTTAATTTAAGAAATGTAAAATCAAAAAAAAGAAGTTTATAGTTTAAGGTTATTACACGGCCAAATACCGATTGTTACTTCATTCGTGCCTTTAATGATCATTGCAAAGTTGAAATACCGGAAATTGCTGAGCCATTTCGGATTGGTATTCGTGTGTATGAGTTAAAAAGTTCAGCGTTGGGTAGTTTCGGAATGATAACGGATATTCAGTATAAAGCTGAAATATGTTTGGAACCTAGTAAGTTGATTTTTTTTTTTTAAATTAATCCTTGATCAAATTATTATAATATATATTTGCAAATTTCAACAAAAGATTAATGATCGAAGGTAATCTTAACGATTGTTATACAATTGTTAAGTGAAATCGTAGATAACATTCTTAAATAAGTCAATTAAATATTTTATAGATAAATGATAAGATCTTTTAAGATCTGAAAAACCACAATAAAACCAGTAAAATTATATAAGATTAAGCGTTAATTAATAACACATTCTTAAGAATTTCATAATTTAACACTGTTTACATGAAAAAATTGAAAAACTATGAATGAAAATTTAGAGTTATCAACAGTTTTTGGAGCTCGAACAATTCCACTATCATCTATTACATCCTATCCGATTTCCGCTTCCGAACTTTCCTGTGTTGATTACAATTCAACTTGTCGCTGGTCCAATAGTCTTTCATCATCAGCCGAATGGAAGATCGGATGGAATCTTCGACGATGGAACGAAATCTTTGAAACGACAAGTAAACCAACTGGAAGTTTTTTTTATCAGTACGTCGATTCAATTACTCCAAAGCCCTATTCATTACTACGATCAGAACTTGTTCCATGCACCAGTACTGTTACAACTTTTACCTTTAGGTTTGTTATATCTAACTTTTAATAGTTATGAAAATTTTGAAGCTATAATATACAACGTTTTATCATTGATAAATAATTTAATTAACAAATAATCGCAAAACTAGAGTTTCCTCGAAATTTTAATCCTGATTCCATGAAATTCTAATATGATTTCATATTGTCATATAATGAAGATAGAACAATTTAAAATTTTAGAATGATGCAATAAATGATAGTTGAAATTACTGATTATTTAATTTATATAAATTCTTAAAGGATTCACTTATTCATTTTCAAATCTTCAATGCAAATATTAGTAGTAAATGTGCCAGATATTTTAATCTTTGCTGATAAATTTAATAAATTTCAATTTGAAATTATTTTTATTTATAGATATTGGTTACAAACAGGTACACAGGTTCAGGTTTGTACAGTTACTGCATCAAATGTGATAATTAGCTGTGTGTACCTAAACGAAGTAACAGTGCCTGGACCTATTAATATTGATATCGATTCACCAACTGAGGAACCTTTTCGAGTATGAAATAATCACTTTGCAAATTATTTGAAACAATTAATGTTTTAGCTTTATTATTCAAGTGACAATTGTGATAAAATGTTGATAAGTACCATTGACAACTGATAATGAACTCCTCCATAGATGGTATTCACTTACAATATTCCTGAGTTTTAATGCACATATTGATTGTTAAAAAATAAATTTTGTCAAACTTAATTTTACAGTTCATATTTGAATTAATCAATTTTGATAATTCAACATTTGGCCTTGTCGTTATTGATGATATGCAATTTACTGGTTTATTATGTCATGAAGTAACAGTGCCACCCTCTACAACAATCGATCCGTTGCAAATTAAGCAATTTTTCTCTCTTCAGCCATATCCAAATTTGTTAATCGTAAGTGAATCAAACTTTTATCACCTTGTCAATATACAAAATTAGCATATTTTTTACTTTACTATTTCAGGCTTTTTCTGGATAGTGAAAAAAATTTCACGGATAGTTTTTTAAATATAAATTTAAATCATTCAGAAGATTTTTATCAATATGGGAAGAAAATTTTCCAATAACTTCGAATTGTTTTATCTTCGCTTTTTGCATTCATTCAACCTTATACTTTCTTTTTATTTTTTTATTACAATGAAGGAAGAGATATTTTCAATATTAATTCAGATGAATTAATTATTCAAAATGCTTCAAAATTTCATTTTATTAATTTCAGGAGAGTATACCAACATTAAATTGTAATTTTAATCGAAACACATGTCCTCAGTGGGAAAATGATGGACATTGGTTATTGGGAACGGTTCCATACGATGATTCATTCTCATTATCATCATCAATAAGAGGCCTAAATTTTATACAAAATTTGAAATTTTTTTTCTTTCAAATGATACATTATTATAATTGCAACTATTAAACTTTTGGTTTATTGTATTCCGAAATTATTATTTGATCTAATAATTGCGCCAATAACATAACTCATTGAACTCGAATTCATTTGCAAATATCTTTTATCAGGATTTATCACTTCGCTTTTTCTTCCTAATAATCATTTCCAGATCAAGTTTCGGTAGCTGTCCTTAATAATTCCATGGCTATATTACAATCTCGAGAAGTACCATGTGCTTCGGATGCAAAAATTTTCATTGCATATTTTCGAACCGAAAAAGCTAACATAACAGTTTGCATCGAGAAACATTGTGTTAGCACTAATGATTCACGTTCTGGTAAATTATTTTTTAAAAATTTCGAAATTTTTAATTTATTATTTGAAATGACTAAAGAGTTGTAAGAGTGAACAATGATAACTTATGAAATATAATTCTTCTTCTTCTTCATTAACTAAATTATTGAGCACAAATAAGTCGGAATAATTTTTCGGTTTATTATTTTCCGGTTGGCTTTCGATGGATGTTGATCGTAAGAAATCATTTTTCATTCGATTGATTGCAAAATCAACTGAGCCCGGTGTTGTTATTATTCGAAAAATAGAAACAACTGGCAATTGGTGTCCGCTTCTAACACTGTCGCAATATGCTTGCAAAAAGCTTACCTGTACATTTCGTAAAACCTTTTGCGACTATAAAACGGACAAAAATTCACGTGTTAATATTTTGTTCAACATCGATAAAAAGGGTTAATTTAATTTATTTTACAAATCAATAAATAATTTCTACATTCAAATATTTTATTCTTTTGGAAATTTATAAAAGATTTACTTAACACATTTCTTTTATGGCATTGTAACTAATTTAATGTTTTCGATATTTTTAATGTCTTCACATTAATAGGCCTCTCACTACTGTATTAACATTTAACAATTCAATTATGCATTCAATTGTATAGTTATAATCAATAATGAAAAAATCCTAAACCATATCTAACATCATAAAAATTAATTTCAATGTTTAATTTTATTTGCTTAATATGCTCAGGTGCAACAGCAGATATTAACAAAGGTTCTGGTTTAGCCGTATTAAAATCGCCACAGTTTAAGCTTTCGCGTCCGGTTGAATTACAAATTAAGGTGAGTTTTTTTGGAGTTTTATTCAATTACAAATTAATATACAGACTCTTTTCTTCTTGTAATGTTTTTAATTAGTTCAAAAAAAATGAGTTTAAAATATTAATTTGTTAGTTTTTCATCTTTTTTTTGAACTAAGGATGAGATAGTGTAATATTAACTTAAGCAAAGTATTTAAAAAAAGGAATCATTAATTACTTGCTTAAAAGAAGAATCATTAATTGATTACTTTGATCACATCATACATTCACAATTCGTTTACGGAAACTTTCTAAGAGAAATGTTGTTTACATCTCTCTTTTTTTGTTTATCTTCTCTTCAATCCCTGAAAAAAAAAACTTTCCTACAAAGAGATCAAATTAATAAACAACAAAAATCTTTCCAATCTCTGAAAAAAAAAAATCTTTCCTGCAAAAGATTTAAAAAGAAAAATAAATTAATAAATAAAAAAAAAAAAGAGCACTTCAGGAAAAAGAATATAACTTCTACTGCCTTATGATATGATTTTATTTTTTATCAATCTCCTATTAATGATTACAAAAATCACTTATATAAGTTCAAATTATTCAAATTATTGATAACTTTCAGATATATCAGTCAACATTCGGTTCTCAGACATTCCTGTGTGGTGATGATTTTAGCACTTTGTATGACTGTCAACCGATATTAGGCCCAAAAATAGAATTGCCAACAACAGAAAAAATAATTTTACCACTTGATCAGGATGCACAAAATTTTACAATTGTTGCGGTGCACGATAAATTTATGGAATTTGGTGCAGCAAAATTTATTATTTCAAATATTGAAATATTAGATGAAAATGGAAAATTGTTATGTTGAGTGGATGATTTTAATCAATTTTAGTCGTTTTAATTTTAGAATGGATATAGATTTTTGTAAAAAGTAAAAAGTACTCCTTTTTTCTCTTCCTTACAAAAAGGATGAAAAATCCAGGAAGTATAATAATGCAATCAAGGAAACTTTAAAGTTTGATAAAATTTAAATTCAAATAAATTCGACTAGAATTGCTTAAAAATTCCCTTCACTAATTTTATTTCAGATTTTATAATGTTTTGAATTCATCGTTATATTCAAAATGCTATTAAAGATTGAATGCCTCACAATCATAGTTTCTTAATTTTCCATTAACTTTTTTAATTAATTAAT